GTGTCTGGGATCTTAAAAGCTTGAAAGCAGCCATCTAAGGTATAACTATTATTCTCTATTTGTCTGGAGCAAAAGAAGAAAACCAAAGAATCAGAGAAGGAATGGGACTGTAGGACTAATTGTCTCCATGAACTATGACCTCCTCTACCTTGAGAAGAGACGACTAGATGGTGCCTGGCTATCGCTACTGAACATTCTGACCAGGAACACAATAGATGGATCCTTCTAGAAAGGGAGAGAAATGTGGAAGAGAACTTCAAATTCTCAAGGAATCCAGACTTACCAGACTTACTGAGACTGGATGAATCTCTGAGACTATTGCCCTGAGACACTCTGAACTTTGAACAGAAACTATCCCCCGAAGTCACCTTTTAACTAAATAGCAGGTTAGCTCCAAAAGTAAAAAATTACTTAAAAAAAATTACATATATGAGACCAAACAGACGATGGATATTCTAAAGCATAAATGACAAGGTTGGGATAGTGAGACTATGTTAATAGGAATGGAACAACTAGAACAGAAATAATGACAATGCTGACACAATGTGAAGCATGTAACCAATGTCACCGAACATTATGTGTAGAATGGGAACCTGTTTTTCTGTGTATACTTTCTCCAGAATTATAATAAAATATTAAAAAGTAAAAAAAAGAGAAAAACAGCAGGCTGGATTTGGTCCAATGCCCATAGTTTTCTAACCCCTGGTCTAGATAAAGCAAGATTGGCCATGAGTTGATCATTGATGAGGCTGGTGATGGGTTTAAAGGGGGTTTATACAATTCCCTCTACTTTGTGAATGTTATAACTTTTCCAGTATTTTTAAGTATTACTATAGAAATAATCTAAGTATAAGGTTATTGGAAATAAGGTGAATGGCATAGAATGTATAATACCTGCTAAATGAAGAAGAAGCAGACCACAAGAACATGTTCCCAATTGTTCAATAACACAAACATTCATGTAGAGCATGCATTCTCAGCAGAGGTGATACTGACCCCAAAGGGACAAAAAATTGGTTCTTGGGGGTGAAAAAAATCTTAGATATTACAATGGTTTATGGTCCTCCAAAGCTCGATCGTCACCAACAAAATCATATTCTTTGGTATTTAATTTCTTTCAGTGGGCTTTCTTGGGTATCACATGAGAAGCACTGACCTTGCACTCATGGAGGGTCCACAAAATAGATGCAAGATCAGTGCTACAAAACTATTAACGATGGTTGTGACTGGAAGACTTTCTCTCCATCATCATATTGTGAGAGGTGGCCTGTGCGTACCTATTAGCTGCCTTGTGGATGTTGTGCATGTTTGATCCTCAGTGCTTCTGTGTGTGACTTTGGATCTGACATTTAAATAAAAGAGGTGGAATGGCTGAGTTGCGGGGATCAAAAACAACTAAACTTCTTTATCCAAAAAAAAAAAAAAGTTCAGTAATTGTAGCCAGGCACCATCTAGTTCTTCTGTTCTCATAGCAAAGGAGGCAGTTGTTCATGGAGGTAATTAGCCACACATCTCATATCTTCCTCCTATTCCTGACTATTCTTCCTCTGTTGCTCCAGGAGAAGAGAGGCCAATTGTTGTGCCTTGGTGGATGGCTGTTGCAAGCTTTTAAGACCCCAGGTACTACACAGCAAACTAGGAGGTAGAATAAAAGCACTAAATATGTTATTAGGCCAATTAATTGGGATGTTCCATGAAACCATGACCCTAAACTTCCAAACCAAGGAACCAAATCTCATGAGGTGTTCGGTTGTACATAAGCAGCCTCAGCAGCTACTCTTTTTGTTGTTGTTGTTGTAAATATATCTATCACACAACTTTTGCCAATTCAACTTTTTACAGGTGTACAACTTTTTGACAGCAATTACAATAATCAGCTGTGCAACCCTACTCTTAATCCATGTGATTTCACCAATAATCTCCCTTTTCCCCTCCCTCCAGCCCCTGGTAACCACTAGACAACTTTGGTCTCTATAAATTTGCCTTTTTTTGTCTTTTTATATTAACTGAGCTCATACAATATTTGTCCTTTTGTGCTTGGCTTATTTTGTTCAGCATGTTTTTAAGCTCCATCCATTCTGTAGCAGGTATCAAGACTTCATTTCTCCTGCTGGCTGAGTAGTATTCTATTGTATATATGTACAACATTTTGTTTATCAATTCATCTGCTGATGAGCATTTATGTTGTTTCCACCTTTTGGCTATTATGAATAGTGCTGCAATGAATAATGATGTACACATCTCTTTTTGAGTCTCTGCTTTCAAATCTTTGGGTATATACGTAGGAGTGCAATTGCTAGGTCATATTATGGTAGTTCTATTTTTAGTTTTTGAGGATCTGCCACAGTTTTCCAGAACAGTTGTACCATTTTGCATTACCAACAGCAATGGATAAGGGTTCCAATTTCCCCACATCCTCACCAACATTTGTTATTTTCCATTGTTCTTTTTTTTTTTTAAAAAAACAAACAAAAAAAAAAAAACCTTAGGTATCCTAGTGGGAATGAAATGGTATCTCACTGTGGTTTTGATTTGCATCTCTCTGATGGCTAATGACGCTGAGCATCTTTTCACGTGTTTTGTGGCCATGTGAATGTCCTCTGTGGTAAAAATGTCTATTCGAGTCCTTGCCCATTTTATGGTTATAACTTTTTGTTGTTGTTGAAGTTTTATATATATTTTGGTTATTAGATTCATGTCAGATACATGGTTTCCAAAGATATTCTTCCAGCTGGTAGCTTGTCTTTTCACTTTTTTTGGTAAAGTCGTTTGATAAACAAAAGTTTTAAATTTTTTGAGTTCCTATTTATTTATTTTGTCTTTTGCTGTTTGTGCTTTTGTTATTATATTATATAATCCACTGTTGAAAGCTAGGTCTGCCAGTGTTGCCCCTCCTTGTTCTTCTAAGAATTTTATGATTTTAGTTTGCACATTTAGGTCCTTAATCCATTTTGAATTTGTTTTTGTGTGTGGTGTGAGGCATAGATCCGGTTTCATTTTTCTGCATGTGGAAATCTGATTTCCCCAGTACCATTTATTGAAGAGACTCTTCTTTCCCCATCAAATAGACTTAGCACCCTTGTGAAAAATCAGTTGACCACAGATGTGTGGGTTTATTTCTCAGTTCTGGACTCTCAATTCTATTCCATTGGTCTATGTGTATATTGTTATACAAGTACCAAGCTGTTTTGATTACTGTAGCTGTATAGTATGTTTTAAAATCAGTAAATGTGAGTCCTCCTACTTTGCTCTTCTCTTTCAACATTGTTTTAACTATTTGTGGTCTCTTGCCCTTCCATATAAAGTTGAGGATTGGTTTTTCTATTTCTGTAAAAAAGGCTGTTGGAATTTTGATTGCGTTGAATCTATAGTTCGCTTTGGGTAGTATTGACATCTTAACAATATTAAGTCTTTCAATCCATGAACTGGAACGGCTTTCCATTTATTTAAGTCTTTAATCTCTTTCAGCAGTGTTTTATAGTTTTCATTGTATAAGTCATTCACATCCCTGATTAGGTTTATTCCTTGCTATTTTATTCTTTTAGATTATATTGTAAATGGAATTGTTCCCTGAAATTCCCTTTCAGATTGCTCATTGCTGGTGATTTTTGTTTGTTGACCTTATACCCTGCAACTTTGCTAAATTACAAATGCCTTTTAGTCCCAGTGCTACAAAGGACTTATATGCTGATGTTTTTCCCCAGCAGAAATATTCACCTGAGTTGGGAGTCCAGACTCTTCCACCTAATGCCTGACTTTGTATGTCCCTGGGTGGCACAAAGGGTTTGCATTTGACTGCTAACCTAAAGGTTGGCAGTTTGAACTTGCCCAGCAGCACCACAGAAGAAAGGACTGGCAATCTGCTTACATAAATATTACAGCCAAGAAAACACTATGGAGCAGTTCTATTCTGTAACACATGGGGTTGCCATGAGTCAGAATCCACTTGATGGCAATGGCTTTAGTTTAGTTTTTTTGAGAAGAGGTTGCTGACCCTGGCTGCATCTGGGGTACCAGCACCATCAGGGCAGGAGGACTGTCCTGCAGTGTCTTTAACATGCTGCAGTATGTCCTCTGCTGATTTATGGTTTGGGACTCACTGACGTAGGGTACTTTTAATCATTTGTGTAAAAGCTGCCAATGCCTGTTCACAGGGCTGTGGTGATACATGACAGAAGTTCAATGAGTGCTCGTTGGTATTGCCAGCGCATTCAGACTAGTACTCTCCCAGTCAAGTTAAGTGGTGCTGCGAAATTGAATAAACCCTACTGTGAAGTTTTTGGCCTGTGTAACCCTAGCATAGTGATTTAGGTGGGCATTTTGTCCCCCAGGGGACAGATGGCAATGCCTAGAGACATTTTTGGCTGTCATACTGGGATGTGGGGGATCGGCTGCTACTGGCATCCGGTGAGTAGAGACCAGGGATGCCACTCAACCTCCTACAATGCACAGCCCCACAACAGAATTATCCGGCCCAAATGTCAACAATGCTGGGGTGGAGAAGCTCTTGCTGTTGCAGTTGTGCTGGGTCATCGACAGCAAGGCCCTGCTTTCTCAACCCAGTCACGGGCAATGGCTGTTGGCACCGACCCTTTCGCGGCTACACAGTACCTCGCAAAGTGTACTTCGCAAAGCGAGCTGGGCCGGGATTCCTTAGGTGGTACCAGCGGGGTCGGCAGCCTCTTCACACGCCCCGTGGAAAGCGCGCGCCCGGGCACAGCCTGCCGTGAGCACGCGGAAACTGGCACCCGCCAACCCCACTTCTAAGGTGCAACTTTGTTGCGAGAGGCGGGGCCCCTACGTCACTTCCGCTGCGACACCCCCCCCCCAGCCTGCCCACGGCCCCGCCCCCAACGCGCCCGTAACCCTGGGCGACGGCCAGGCTGGCAGCGGAGTGAGTGTTCCCTTAGCCGGCCGGGACTAACTGCCCCGGAGCCTTCCACCGTGCTCTGTTTTACATGAGGGTGTGAGCGGCCGCGGCTGCGGCCGCCTCCCCGCTACGGGGCAAGGCCCCAGGCGCCCAACGGGCGGCGGAGCGAGAGACACTGCTCAATTGGAAGGAAACGGCCTTCTGAGGCGGGGAAACAAACTGGCGAGGTAGTGCGCCCTTGGGGCTGGAATGGGAATGGGTGCGGCCTAGGGGAGGAGCAGGACGGAATGGGTGGGGCAGTGGGAGGAGTCGTTGGAAGGGCGGGGCTCTGTGAGGGAGGAGCCAATGGAGGAAGGGGAGGAGCTTGGTCGGTCCAGGGGCACCGTTTCTCTGAGGGGATTGTTATCGAAAGAAGGGAAGGCGTCTACGTGGAAAGGTAGAAAATACTTGAGGTAGAAAGGAAGATAATGGAAGAAGGGGAGTAGCTGGTGGGAGAAAGGAATGGGCTTGTGGGGAAGAGGAGGAACCAGCTGACAGGGGCCGGGGCTTTGGGAGAGACAGGTGGATTTTTTGTGCTTGATGATTTACAATTTCATGTGAAATGTAATCTGTGTGAGAGCTGGGAAGATAGGTGTTGCTTTATTCTTTTATTCTCAGTATTGGACACTTAATGAATGAATGTGAGTTGAGCAAGGAGTAAAGTTGGGAATTGAGAATGGAGTAGAAATGGTCTGGTGAGAAGGATGCTGGAGAAATCGCTTTCCTGGGAATCATTCTATGAATATTTAATCAAGGCCACTATGTCCTGTGAGTAAAAATAAGCATAAGACACAAATAATTAACATAAGATTTATAGCCTTGAATATGTAAACAAATTGTGCAAGTTGGATGGTGCAAGTGCTTAACTTTGAGGCAAAGGTTCAACCCTTGCTGAGTTGTGTTCCAAAACTGTAAATTAAGCTGGAGTTCCAGTGGCATTTTCCTGTAGAAACTATGTTACCTGTAATCAGGATGGTCAGGCCAATCTTCAAGACCTATTAAGACCAGTTACATATACCTGAAGTTGAGGTAAGAAACTTAACTTCCACCATGGCTAACAGTGTTTCTATTAATTTATTCTATTCATTCAACACACGTTGTTGGGGATCGACAGGAACATCCGTTCAGAATTCCAAGTGAGGGTGCCAGAAGCCCATCTTCTTCTGGCTGAAATCCTGACAATAGATTGGAGATTCCTATAAACCCGTAGCTTTTAGGAAGATGAGGGTACAGTGTAGAGCCAGTGAGGAATTGGGGTGAAGCAGTAAGGAGTTTTGAGAATTAGAGTCTGCTTTTGACATGAGCACCCTGGACCTTTAACCTCTTTTGGCCATCAACATTCCTCTACTCTTAGTAGATTAGGAATATGTCAGCTAGGTGTTAGGATCTAGGGTAAGGCGTTTGTAGTCTGACTATATAGCCAGGCAGTGATGAATCTGTTGCAGTAACTCCACGTTCCCCTTTTGTCCAGCCCATTGTAACTACCAAAAAAGTTGTGTCTCTATGCATTTTCCTATTCTGGATATTTCATATAAGTGAGATCATACAATATTTGTCCTCTTGTATCTGATTTATTTCACTCAGTAAAATGTTTTCAAGGTTCCTTCATGTCATAGCATGTGAAAAAGAACTTCATTCCTTTTTATGGCAGAATAATATCCCATTTTGTTTATCTATTTATCTGTTGATGGACACTGTTTTTTCCTACCACATTTTAAGAGAGACTTTGACAAGCAATTGTGCATTCTTAAGATGATGAAGAATTTGAGATTTGTGTCTGCAGAAATGATAGCTTCATATATTTTCAGGGCTGTCATACATTGCTTTTGGGAAGAGCACCAGACTGAGGAGCAAAATTTGCAGGCTTGCAAATGTCTTTATTTGAGAACATTCTAATCCTTAGAGGTTCCAATGGAATGAAAAAAGAAAAAATGCTTGTAATGGGCTCTTGGTCATTGAAAGTATTTGAGCAGAACCTGAATTATGGTCTGTATTAGTTTTCTATTTTTGCTGTAACAAAGTAATCACAAATTTAGTGGCTTAAGACAACATCCATTTATTAGCTTATAGTTGTATAGGCCAGAAGTCCAGGGCAGCATGGCTGTGTTTCCTGTGTCAGATCTCACAAGGCTGAAATCAAGGTGTCAGCCAGGCTAGTTTAGTATGTTATCTGGAGGGCCTGGGAAAGAATGCACTTCCACACTCATTCAGATTATTGGCCGAATTCAGGTTTCTTGCAGTTGTAGGACTGAAGTCCCAGTTCCCTTAATGCTGAGTTACTTTTTTAGTGTGAATTTTCTACAACACATCTATGAGAGCAGCAACATAAAATGTGTCTGTTTATCTTACTCAGTTGTGGTATTGGTGCTCCTATGCAATTGACCAATGGAAGCTTAATGGAAGCCTTTGTTTATTTTTGGAGCAAAACACTATGCACTCTGTAAGCTACAGATTATTTAGGGTGTTAAAGCTACATTGACTTTGCCAGATGTGTAACAAAGAGGCATTTGGTAGTCTCTGTACTGCTCAGTTCATTAGCAGACTCCATGAATTATAATATAGCGTCAAAGATCCAAACAGTAATGTCTGTTCTTTTTGTGCATTTCCAACCCATTCTTTTGCGGTTCAGTAAATTGATGGGAAGGCCTTGTGTACTTTGACTTTAGAGTAATTGGACAATTATTTATGGAATTCGTCTAAGTCACCTTCATAAACTCTATCATTTGATTTTGTATATCTTTGTTGTACATCTTTGTTGTACATACTGTTCTTTTTCAGTATATCCTTGTTCAAGATCTTTACTTCAACTTAAAATGATACAAACTGTGTTATCCATTCTTTGATATCTTGATTTCAGTTTGCTCAAGGTCAAAATCCACAGTATCCTCACCTCCACCATTTCCCTACATTCCATTTCTTGAAACACTCATTATATAAATGACTTTTAAAAGGACATTTACTATAGAAACTCTCACACTTACATAAAAGTGGAGAGAATAGTACAGTGAACTTCCATGTCCTCGTGCCCGTCTACAGCATACACAATTCATGGCCACTTTTATTTCATCATTCCCTCCCTAACCACCCTCTCCATGGATGGTATTGTTTTGATGCAAGTCACTGATGGCTTATGTTTAATTGTTAGGGTTTTTTATGATTTGGGGGCTGATAAATTTCCTTTTCTGTTCCTGTCTTTAAATGCTACTAGAACAGATATTTACTGGATCATAGTGAATTTCCATTGACTGTGTTCCTTAGACTCTCATTCACCTTCTTCATTTTGTTTCCAGATATCTTAAGTTCTTGGGTCAGGTTTTTGGGGGCTTATCCTTGTTTATCTAAGCATATGCCCTGGGGGGTTGGAGCTCAGTCAGCAGTTTCTTCTTTGTACATTTTGGTTCTAGTCTTCAATAGCTTGTGTAATAGAGTTGCTTAATACCTTCTGGCCTATATCTTTGTACTTTCCTGCTTTGTACTCCAAATCCAATTTTCTAGTTGCGTCTGCAAATGCATTTCCAGTGGGAGCATTTTCACTGGGACCTTTGTGTTTTTTTGATGTGATTTTCTTGGAAAACAGTAGTATGGATTTTGATGCATACTTTATAAAAGTGATTCTAACTGAATCAGGTTGCAAAGCTCACTGGAAGTCAAGAGAAGTAGAATAACATTAGCTAGTAACTTCAAATCTGTCAATTAGGCATAATTTTACTATCAGAAAATATGAGTATTATGAGTGCTGATTTCCACATTCTGATGTGAAAGTAAAACTGCATACAGTTTATAAGAAATTGCATTTCCACTGTTTTAGTTGCTCTTTGTGTTGTATGCATTTCTGTTTATCAACTGCTAACATGCACTGGAAGACAAGAATGGGCAGTAAAACTTTAAGGTACGTTTATAGGAGGAAAACTTAAAATTAAGCCTACTCTATCCGTTAACTTAATTTTTTTCTTATTAGGAAAAGAACATCAATATTCTATTTTAGTAGTCCAGCTTGAAGAAGACCGGTGTTCAGAAAAAGCGCCTAGAGATCTGGTATGCAGTAATCTGACCATTTGACTAATAATACTGCATTTACTGACTCAAAGATGATTCTTAGTTTTTGATCATAAGAAGTTAGTATATTTCCCCATGAATTATTATTGTTACTTGGGTTTCTTTTGGTACTTTGTAATACAGTGTGCCTGGAACCTTTTCTGGTGCCTTCACTGGGTCCTGCTTCAGTATCCTGGACCTCCTGAAGCCTAGCATGGACTTCCCCTTACCAGGCTTTGCTCTGGAGGGCAGAACTAGGACCTGGGAGGGGGTGGAGGATTTTGAGGGTACATGGAAAACAGTGTTGGAAAATAGGGAGCAATTCCTAACAATTACAGTAGTAGTTTTCAGACTTCGCCGATTTTTAGAATCACCTAGGGTGCTTTAAAAAAAAAACCTGAGGCCCTCCTCTGCTATGACACCAGAACTGGATGGTACCCGCCTGCCAATACTGAACATTTTGATCAAAGATTCTATAGAAGAATCCTGATCAAAAGGGGGAAAATGTAGAACAGAATTTAAAATCCTCATAGGATCCAGACTTTCTGGGGCCATGGAGGCTGGATGAACCCCTGAAACGATTACCCTGAGATAATCTTTAACCCTTAAACCAAAAATATCCCCTGAAGTCTTCTTAAAACCAAACTGATTTAACTTAACTAGTGAAGAAGTCTGCCTTGAACATTATGCTCTTCCAAGATCTATCTATATTGGATCACATTAACAACAGCAACTCAAAAGATTAGTTAGGAAACTTAGAGGGCAGTGAGTTTATGTTAAGGGGGGAGGAACAACTCAGAGAAGGAGGGAGAGAGTGATTGCACAGCTTGAAGAATCTAATCAGTGTCACTGAATTGTATATGTAGAAACTGTTGAATTGGAAAACAAAACAAAACAAAAAAAACTTCAAGGGCCAGGCTGTGCCTTAGACCAATTATGATCAGAATCTTTGTGGGTTGGGGTCCGAACAACAGTATTTTTTTACAAAGCTCCCCAGGTGATTCTAAGGTGCAGCCAAGTTTGAGAACCAGTCAAGTCGAGCACTTCGCCATCGGAACTGGCTCTCCAAGTATAAGTTGTCTGTCAGTGGAGGTAATTCAAATGAAGTTTAAGTCAAGCTCAGAGCATTTTTCTTGTTGAGTTGAATCCTAACTATTGGCTCGACAGCAACACGTTAACTATACTTAATCTCTCCTAAACAGTACCTATTTCTTTGCTATATAAACTTCAAGTTGAAATTTATTTTAATAAATGGCTTTGCTTTTGAGTTGTATACTTGTTAAGTCCATGGAGTTCTGTGGGACAAATGCATTTGTAACTCAGAAGAGAACAAGGTTTGAGTGTGCTTTTTTGGCCTGGGCAAAATCTGAAGTTCTGTTGTTGTTAGCTGCCATGAAGTTGGCCCCAACTCATGGCGACCCCATGCACAATGGAACAAATGCTGCCCAACCCTGGGCCATCTCCCAGTAAGATGTGAATTAGACCTTTGTGATCCATAGGGTTTTCATTGGCTGATTTTTGGAAGTAGATTTCCAGACCTTTCTTCCAAGTCCATCTTGGACTGGAAGCTCTGCTGAAATGTGTTCAGCATCATAGCAACATGCAAGCCCCCACTAACAGACAGGTGGTGGCTGTGCATGAGGTGAATTGACTGGAAATCGAACTTGAGTCTCCTGCATGGAAGTCAAGAATTCTACCACTGAACCACCACTGTCCCCTAAAGTCTGAAGTGAAATTTCAAAATATGAAATAAGCAGGCTGATGTGCACAGTCTCTCTGGTCCTGAATCATGCTTCTGTTTGTAAACAAAACAGTGCTTCTAGTTTTTAGTCACTTATAATATCATTTTTTCTTTCAGATTTTATTCATTTCCTTTGGTGTCCGAAGATATTTGAACCTTCCATAGGTAAATGGGACTTTCTTCATTACCATCAAAATGCCAATTTAAGCCTATGTATAAAAGCCGAGATGGTAATTAAACTGATAGTGTTATAAGAAGTACTGATCTTCACCTCGGGAGAAAATGAAAAAAAAAAAAAAAAGATGGGTTTCAGGCCTTGTTTGAGTGAGAGAAAGCAAGGTCTGTGTACCCAGCAGCCAGCGACCTCTGTCTCGTCATAAGCAAAGAATTCCTCAAGAAGGCACTGTCTGCCTGTCAGCACTAAAGCTAGACCCTTGAGTTCACTGCACGGGCATGAGAGTTAATCTCCTCAGCTGAGAGGTCCCCAGGAGGAGCCCCTGACTGTGGGAAGGTACTATAATCATGCCCTTTTGATAGATGAGCAAACAGACCCAGAGATGTAAATACTTGTCCAAGGTCACCCAGCTAGTTAAATAGAGGAGACATGATTGGAACCCTGGCTGTTTGGCACCAGAGTCTGTGCTCCTAAAAATTATGATCCTTTGGATTATCAAAGCCAAGTCCCATTTTTCAATGCTAAAAAACATCCAAGTTTATAGTTATTATTTGTTAGAAGTTTGGTCCAATATGAGCTTCACCTCCTTTGCCAGAAGCTGAAGCCTACCTGAGATCTTTCCACCTCTTTACTCTGCCTTTTGCATTTTCATCCTCAACTTCAGGCTGGTTCCCCTTATAATTCAGAAATGGTCTGTGAAAGTCCAGAAGTGATTTTTAAGCAGCTCCCAGGGCTATATACTTCTTTGCAACTAGCGGAGCCCTGGTGGCGTAGTGGTTAAGAGCTCGTCTGCTAACCAGAAGGTTGACAGTTTGAATTCACCAGCCACTCCTTGGAAGCCCTGCGGGGGGCAGTTTTGCTCTGTCATGTAGGGTCGCTGTTGAGTCGGAATCGACTTGACGGCAACAGGTATCAACGGGTTTGTGACTAGCAGGACCGAGAGAGTGCCTTTGTCTCATCAGTTTCAGAAAAAGTTCATTTTGATTGAGCCAGTTTAGGTCACAAGCCTACTTGTGAATCAGTCTTTTTTTTTTTTTTAACTGGGATAAAATTCACATAACATAAAGTTCACCATTTTAACCTTTTAAGTGTACAGTCCAGTGTTTTTTAAATTATATTTATAGTGTTGTACAATTATCACCAATATTTAATTCCAAAAATTTCCATAACCCCGAAAAGAAATTCTGTCTCTCCCAATTCCCCCCTCCTCCATCCACTGGCAACCACTAATCTACTTTATGTCTCTATGGATCTGCCTGTTATGGACATTTCCTATAAATGGAATCGTACAACTGGCTTTTTTCACTTAGCATAGTTTTCATCCATGTTGTAGCATGTATCAGTACTTTATTCCTTTTTATTGCTGAGTAATATTCCATTATATAGATAAACAACATTTTTGTTCATCTGTTCATCAGTTGATGGACATTTGGGTCCATCACATTGTGGCTATTGTGAATAATGCTGCTTTGAATATTCATGTGCAAATTGTTGTATGGACATACGTTTTCAATTCTTTTGTATAATGTCTTAGTTATTTAGTGCTGCTATAACAGAAATACCATAAGTGGATGGCTTTAACAAAGAGAAATTTATTCTCTCACAGTTTTAGGAGAATAGAAGTCTGAATTCGGGGTGCCAACTCCAGGGGAGGGCTTTCCCTCTCTGTCGGTTCTGGGAGAAGGTCCTTGTCATCAATCTTCCCCTGGTCTAGGAGCTTTTCAGGTGCAGAGACCCTGGGTCCAAAGGATGCAGTCTGCTCCTGGTGCTGCTTTCTTGGTGGTATGAGGCCCCCCTGCCTCTCTGCTTGCTTCTCTCTTTTATATCTCAAAAGAGATTGACTCAAGGTACATCCTAATCTTGTAGATTGAATTGTGCCTTGTTAACATAACTGCCTCTAATCCTGCCTCATTAACATCATAGAGGTAGGATTTACAACACATAGAAAAATCATATCAGATGACAAAATGGTGGATAATCACACAATACTGGGAATCATGGCCTAGCCAAGTTGACACACATTTTGTGGGGGGCACAATTCAATCCATAACAGGTAGGTACTTAGGAGCGGAATTGGTGGGTTATATGGTAATTTAATGGTTGACATTTTGAGGAACTGCCAAACTATTTTCCAAAGTGGCTGCACCATTTTACATTCCCACCAACAATGTATGAGGACTCCAGCTTCTCCACATCCTCACCAACACTTGTTATTTTTCCTTTTTTTGTGCACCGGTATTTATTTTGGGGGGTAGAATGGGCACATAGGGGTAGAGGTATGGGATAGGGAGTGTACTTATTGACTTAGCCTGAACCACATGCTTCACCGGCTTCCTTAGAAGTTCAGGGATCCCCAAAGCAGATACCAAGGGTTGTTAGGAAGAGGAAGGAGGGAAGAGGGGTGTGACCACAGCATCATCAGGACATTTTTGGAGTGGGAGGGTAGGGATGCTTCAATGTACATTACTTACCCTACTTTGTACCCCATCACCAGGGATAGTGCCTGTGTTAAAGTCTTCCTATCCTCTTCGTTACTCCCAACTTTGATCTGTAATTAAATCCATTAGTCTTTAATCAAAATCAGCCTTACATTTTATAATATCAATAGTTGACATGGATGACTAATGGCTAATTTGTTCTCAGTCTATTCCTGAATGTGTCTTGAAGATTTCACCTGAGTTATTAAATTGCTTTTTAAAAATTTAATATTAAAAACTAAGTTCAATCTACGTTTCAAACTGCAGGCAGAAGATGTTAAAAACTTTAAGAAACAGTCATAGCAATGGATCTCTGTCAGAAAAGTGAGACTGATTTAGAAAATAATGAAAATCAAAACACAGAAGAAACTGAACCAACCTCTACTTGTTCAGATGAAAGAAGCGAAAGGAATCATGTTTGTTGTCTTCTGAATATCAGTGACATTACGCTTGAACAAGACAAGAAAGCCAATGAGTGTGTTATTGGAACTGGATGGGAAGAAGCAGTGAGTATCTTCTTGTATTAGATCTCTTGAACATCAGTGTTTCAGTCAAATCTCTTCTCAAAAATAGAGTTACTGTCACCAAAGAAATATGGAAACCATGAAATATAGAAACCCTGGGAACAGAAGTAAAATATTGATGATGATGATGATAGCAGTACCTTCTGTGGAGCACTTAGTATTTAGCAAGCACAGTAGTAAATGTTTCATATACATTAATTCATTCAACTTCTCAATAGCCCCGTGAGGCAGGTGTTATTAGTAGCCTCACTTTTCGGATGAGCTGAGGTACCCAAAAGGTGAAATAATGTGCCAAATATTACAGCCAGTAATTGGCTGAAGCAGGGCTTGAATCCGGGTCTTCTGGACCCCAGAACCCGAGCTCCTTAACCTCTGTACTAAACTATCTGAGAGGTGTGAGGTTTCTGTCCTAGTGGTTCTACTCAGAACTCTGTGGGTGTACTTAAATTGTTCTTAGAATCAATAATAGAATCCACATTCTAGAACTGTAAGGAACCTTGCTCTATTCCAATGGTTATCAGGTGACATTTGTTAATGTCTGAAGCCATTTTTGGTTGTTACAACTGAGGGGTTGCTCCTGGCATCTAGTGAAAAAAAGTTTTGTGTGTGTGTTGGAATATATCCAAGGCATCAGTGAGGCTTTTTGTGAAGAGGAAACACTTTGGAATAAGAAAGAACCAGATTCAAATCCAGATCTGCCACTTATCAGTAGCTAACCTGGTGGGAGAGTTCATTTCCCTGAGCTTTAGTTTCTTCATCTGTAGGTTAGGGATGTACTACTGCCTACCCTATGGGATGTTGTGAGGAGGATGTGAATGCCTAATTCCCTGCCAAGCGCTTATTAGACTTTTTAAAAAGTGTCTTCTTAACCCTTAAGACTTTTGAACTGGATTTGGGGAGCTGACATGTGAAGTGAGGAGGCAGAGGAGGTGAGGCAGGAATGGTGGTAAAGAGATGTTGTGCAGGATGACCGCCCCTTAGCAGGCCACCCTGCCTGGGAGGCTGGCGCCATCCTCAGGCCAGGAGATACCACTGCTTATCACATATGCTTCTGGTCCTGTGCCTCTGAATAATGCGCAGCGCCCGCATATGCCGGAAGTTGCTGTGATGACTTTATTTTTCAAAATAACATTTCAATACAACATTTTTTTAAAAATAAAAATAATGCAAAAACATCTATGAAGATAATATCAACATTTTAAATAAAGACAGTATCTGTAGGGCCAGGATTAGGGTAAGGTGAGTGAGATGAGTCGTGTGAGGGCAGGGTCAGATCCTGTCTTTATTTAAAAATTTGTTTTTTTTCTTCATGGCTTGTTTTGCATTGATTTTTCTATATATTTTTTAGCACTTTTCGGTTTACAGAAAAACTGTGCAGAAAGTACAGAGTTCCCATTTACCCCCTCTTCCCTGTACATTGTTTCTGCCATTAACATCTTGCATTCTTTTTTTTTTTATTTTTTTTATTTTATTGTACTTCAGGTGAAGGCTTACAGAACAAATAGTTTCTCATGAAACAGTAGTACACATGTTGTTTTATGACATTGGTTAACAACCCCACAACGTATTAATCCTCTAACTTCTCATTTTTTTTTTTTTTTGGTGAAAATACACATAGCCAAAGATACACCATTTCAAAAATTTCTGCATTCACGGTTCAGTGACATCGACTACGCTCTTCCAATTGTGCTGCTATTCTCACTTCAGATGAAGGCTTACAGAACAAAATAGTTTCTCATTTAACAGTTAGTACGTATGTTGCCCTATGACAATGGTTAACAACCTCACAACACATCAACACTATCTTTACTCAACCTTGGGTTCCCTATTACCAGCTTCCTTGTCCCCTTCTGCCTTCTGGCCCTTGTGCCTGGACTGCTGTACCTCATTAGTCCCATCTGATTGTATGGGGCTGTCCACTCCCAGGCTGAACGGTGAACCTTGGAGATGACTTTACCACTGAGCTAAAAGGGTGTCTGGGGGCCATACTCTCAAGGTTTCTCCAGTCTCCTTTAGGCCAGTAAATCTGGTCCTTTTTTTGTGAGTTAGAATTATGCTCTACATCCTTCTCTAGCTCTGTCCAGAACCCTCTGTTGTGATCCTGGTCAGTAACATCTTGCATTCTTATGCTACATTTATTATAATTAATGAACCCATTTTGACACATTATTTACTAAAGTCCATAGTTTACATGCTTTACATAGGTTTACCGTTTGTACTGTAAGGTACTCTGGGTTTTGACAAATGCTTAATGTCATGTGTCCACTATTACAGTATCATGCAGAATAGTTTCACTGTCCTAAAAATGCCCTGTACTCTACCTGTTCATCTCTTTTTGAGCCTCAGTTTCCTTCTCTAGAAATTTGGCATCAGAACACCTAAAACGACAACAACAGTGCCATGGTGAGGAATAATTAAATGAACAAATGCTGGTAGATCCTCAGCCTAGAATATAGTAAAAGCGTGGTAGCTGTGTTTGTTTTTTAAGATAGGGTTGCTTGATTTAGCAACTGAAAATACAGGATGCCCAGTTAAATTTGAATTTCAGGTAAACAGCACATAATTTTTTTGGTATAAGTATGCCCAAATATTACTCTGTATCAGGCAACTCTATTTTAACGATGACATCTGTGGCAAGGTCAGCCATGGGACTCTGGGCATGGACAGAAGGCTGGGGTCCGCAGGGCTGCCTGGAGCATGCAGGGCTTCTGTGCACCCCAGGAGCTGGCTCTATGCAACTGCTGCCTCCAGCCCCCTCTAAGGAGCAGTGCTTCCCAGGGTACGACAGACTGGGGATCAAGATTTCCTTTTAGGTGGTACAACTATACACAGTTTTTGTTTTATTTTAATAGTTCTGAATGTGTATCTGAAAAAATAGAGTCAGCACATCAAATTGGTCATTTACAAATTTTGCTTATCATGAGGCTAAAAGAGGTATTAGGAGCCCTGGTGGTGCAGTGGTTAAAGTGCTCAGCTGCTAACTGTAAGGTTGGCAGTTCAAACCCACCATATGCTCTGAGGGAGAATGATGTAGCAGTCTGATCTGCTTCCTTAAAGATTATAGCCTTGGAAACTCTGTGGGGCAGTTCTGCTTTGTCCTGTGGGGCCACTGTGAGTCAACAGGCAATGAGTTTGGTTTTTTGGTTTTTAAAGGAGGTATAAAAACCAAAA